TCCAGAGATGTGTAGTCGGTTCTGTCTTTGATCAGAGGTTAAATTACAATTTTACTGCTTCTGTGGTCCTTTTAACAGTGCAAAGCCAACACAGCCATAGGAGATGGTGATTATGGTCTGTCKCACTCATCAGCGGGGCTGCTGACTAAATTCCAGTAGCACAATATTTATCAGTACTTACTGGTGGTGGTGCCTGAACTAYGAGGAATCTTGGCTTTCAGATCTCATGGGCAGAGGTCTGAAGAAATATATTGTCCCTTGTAAACTGAGAACTTTTGCTGAAAAGTGAGTAACTATAAACATGGAGATCATGATGTAACCTCAGCAATTATTTTCCTAGATGGAGTCACTGTTACAAAAACAACTTGGCGCCACTGATTAAGAAAAGAATAGTGACTGCYACTGTCTCTGAAACCCTTGTGACCATCCTTGTCTTGCCTGGACATAATATTAGTGCTTGTGCAGTGTAATGTTTCAGGCTGGAAAAGCTCTATCTGCACCAAATGTTCAAGGTACAGATCATTACTGGGACTGGATGGCAACAGCAGCACTGTCCTGATGTAGTTATTCCTTGTATAAGTACAACAACAACTTCTGAGCTTTAGGCAAAGAGGCCAAACCTGTTTGTGAYGGGTTTAATAACCTGGTAAAGTCCCCTTTCTTTGCCTTTTTGGACAAGGATGGCAGTCACCAAGCAAGATGCAATATTTGAGCTTAGGTCAGTAATTGAGCTTAGGTCAGGATTCGRCCAGTTCAAACATTTAAGGATGTCTGAATTTAGACTGCTTTAAAGAGAGAATAAAGCAATTCTGGGCATCTGGAACTGCTTGGAAATGGTGAGAAATGTGTGAGGTGTTAGCARTAAGCATCATCTGATATGAGTTACTGAAAAAGTCTGCATGAACACAGATTTCAAGCAGCTTAATGAGAAACCAACCTCCCCTCTCTTTTAAATAGGAGGTTTTTTTTCAGTGTCTCTCTTAAGTGCCTAGCAAGTTGTGATGAGGAGGTTAAATTACAGATACTATTCCTGGCCTGGCACAGACTGAATGTCAGCCTTTTTTTCACTAGACAGGAGCTGGGTAAACCAGCAGACTTGGCTGGAGGGTATGACATCACCGCTGCTGCAATATATAAAGGGCCAGTTGGTTCCCCCACCCCCTAGGRCTGGTATTTGGCTGAAGGGTTMTGCCATGAGACATCACAGTGGCATTTTGGCAGCGCCCTTGGGAGTTGCACAGCAGTCTGAAGTCAGCAGCACTGCATTTCCCATGAGAATGGGAAGAGAAGGAAAGATTTTTTTAAAATCTTTGTGAGCTGGTTCCTTCATGTGGTGCCTCYCCCTGTGGCATCCATCCACAGCTCCAGCCCAAAACCCAGAGCCCTGTGGTGCCTGCTGGCTGAGGTTTTTTTCAGCTCCATTTCCACACATGCTGCTACTTCATGTTTCCAGGGGCTCATCATGACAATGAACAGTCAGTGCTCCTTACCATGGGAAATAGGAGAATCCCTAAAGAATTGATGACTTTTTTGCATAGGTGTTTGTTCATGGCACACACAGGAGCTCATAAAATTAAATCTGTTAGCACAAGCCTCTGTTTCCCTCATCCAACAAGATCACTTTGACCAATTCTCTGTGGTCATAAGGGGAAACCAAAGTGAATTCTCCTGTTTGGGGAAAGGGGAACCACTTTGCTCAAGTACAAATGCCCGCCCCAGCAGGTGGAGGATGGAGAACTGGATCTCTCCAGCCTAGGGTGCAAATCCCAAAYGCTGAGGGAAATGACCAACATAGAACAAGGCAACCTCAGCTATTCCAGCACCAGATCTTTGGTCATTGCACACGAAAGCAAGGAGAGAAACCATGTGTCTGAACCAAACCAGTGCAGGAAACTGGGTCCATTCCCCATGAGGATTTGGCCTGGCAATTATGTCTCAAATGGCTTGTTCTGGGCCAGAGGAGCAGAGA